CGCGGTTTCTGGGACCTCTCCACGGTGATCCTCACCCACATTTTGGCACATTGTGTCATCGGGTGTTTATCGCTTGTGTGATGTCCTGGTGGGGTAGAAAGTCAGCCACTCAGTCAACATCATGGCACAAGGGTAGTAACCCGTTAGTGCTCCGTTCTTATTCTAAATAAAGTCTGAGTCCGAAGAAGCTCAGCACAGTGCATCGGCAAGGATCATAAAATACTTTGGGTAGATTTTTGACTCCAAAATTTTGTTAGGCTGGCTACTTTTTTCGATTTCCAACTGCCAAGAAATTTTTTACGTGCGGAACAGTGCACAAAGGCGTCCGATCTGACTACCCAGAGACCAGGGGGAGTTACTAGAAGACCAAGTCACGTTAAAAAAATACCCAGCCCTTACGGAAGATTGAACCAGGAACCTCTAGCACTCGAGGCGGACTACATACCTCGAGACCACGCAGTCACCTCAAGCTATTAAAAACTGCTGATGCCTTGTCTTACCTGCGCGTGTCATAATTTCTTTGCATTTCTTTCACCCCAATGACTTTAATTACCTTTGTCTCTAGAGTTACATCTGCTTAATCTGTTGTTGGTGTCTTCAATATATTTGCCTTTCATAACTTATTTGTTGTCCAACCCTTGATGCTATATTTGCTAAATCATATGTTTTCCTTTGCATGTCATTGTTGTTGTTACTTATCATTGTATCACACTTAAACCCTACACTGAATATATCAAGTGTTAGGGCGTTGGTTAGGTTGTCATATATATTTCTTCCATGTGTTACCTTCCTGTTGCAGTTTTCGATAGATGCATAAATTATTGTCACAGTTGCGGCAAGTTCCGCTGAAAGTCCCCGAGCGGTGTGGAGATTTATTTGAGCTTGCAGATTTATAGAGCGCGGCGGTTCGGGACAATTTGTCATCGGGAGAGTTTTAATTTGGAGAAAGTTATTTATGTTTGTCCATTTAACTTTCATGTCGCCACAAGCAGTTGCTGGCGTTTAGAATCATAGGGTGTGTTGCTTTATAGCGTGATTCTTTCCCAGTGGTGTTTTTCCTATGAAATATGCCCTCTCATTGCAACAAATGAGCCTCTTCATTTATTGTTTCTTCATTAAGATCGGTCAATATAGTAATTTCCTAAACTTCTGTTAAATGGGGGAAGTCAATATAATTAGAGAGCACGTGTGCTTATCTGTCTCTTTAAGTACACGTGGTTTCTTTGAACTGTTTTTACAAGCACTCTGTGAAGTGTGAGCAGTTTGTGAAGTGTGAACATTATGTGAAGTGTGAGCAGTATGTGCATTGTGAACAGTATGTGAAGTGTGAGCAGTATGTGAAGTGTGAACAGTATGTGAAGTGTGAGCAGTATATAAACTGAACAGTATGTGAAGTGTGAGCTGTATGTGAAGTGTGAACAATATGTGCAATGTGAAATGTGAGCAGTATGTGAACTGTGAACAATATGTGAACTGTGAGCAGTATGTGAACTGTGAACAGTATGTGAGCTGTGAACAGTATGTGAAGTGTGAACAGTATGTGAAGTGTGAACAGTATGTGAAGTGTGAACAGTATGTGAAGTGTGAACAGTATGTGAAGTGTGAACAGTATGTAAACTGTGAACAGTATGTGAAGTGTGAGCAGTATGTAAGGTTTGAGCAGTATATGAAGAGTGAACAGTATGTGAAGTGTGAGCAGTGTGAACAGTATGTGAAATGTGAACAGTATGTAAACTGTGAGCAGTATGTGAACTGTATGTGAAGTGTAAACAGTATGTGAAGTGTGAACAGTATGTGAAGTGTGGACAGTACGTGAAGTGTGGACAGTACGTGAATTGTAAACAGTATGTGAAGTGTGAACAGTATGTGAAGTTGAAGTGTGAACAGTATGTGAAGTGTAAGCAGTATGTAAAGTGCGAACAGTATGTGCAGTGTAAAAAGTATGTGCAGTGTGAACAGTATGTGAACTGTAAGCAGTATATCAACTGAGCAGTATGTGAAGTGTGAGCAGTATGTGAAGTGCGAACAGTATCTGCAGTGTAAAAAGTATGTGCAGTGTGAACAGTGTGTGAGGTGTGAACAGTATGTGAAGTGTGAGCAGTATGTGAAGTGTGAGCAGTATGTGAAGTATGAACAGTATGTGAAGTGTGAACAGTATGTATAGTGTGAACAATATCTGTTTCATGGCCACCGGAAGCTCGCTGTAGTCACGTGACTCACCAGGGTAACTTCAAATTTACGATAAAACTATATAACCTGACTGGTATTTGAAGCTGGTATTTTCATGTTATTTTGTTTCTGCCAGATCACCTTCAACAAGTGGAGCCTCATCATAGCGGATTTGATTCTGCAAGACGCCGGCAATTACATGTGTGTGGTCTCCAACGTCCATGGCAACCTCAGCTGGACGTATGAGCTGGAAATCTTACGTAAGTAGCGGACTTTGATGTTGGAGGTCTCTGTATGTGTTCCGGGGGCCCTATTGTTGAGGGGTTGGGGGATAGACTCACTGCCGTTCTAACAAGCATGTCGTAATAGTGGACTAAGGGGATTTTTTTCGGAGTCGGAGAACAGTCTACATACAAATAAGAAATCTTTTCAAATTCTGGAACAGGACTTAAGACCTGAAGGGACAACACCCAAAGCTCTTCTTGGTCTTGTTGTTGTTGTTGTTGTTCTTGTTCTTCTTGTTCTTCTTGTTCTTGTTCTTCTTGTTCTTGTTCTTCTTGTTCTTCTTCTTCTTTTTCTTCTTCTTCTTCTTCTTCTTCTTCTTCTTCTTCTTCTTCTTCTTCTTCTTCTTCTTCTTCTTCTGCTACTGCTGCTGCTTCCTCTTCCCTCTCTTCTTTTCCGTCGTTTAGTCCTCAGGTATGCCGTGACATTTTTCGATCATTTTATTCTGTAGTTTTCTGTCTGCCTTGTGTCCGTCTCTTTTATTCTATGCGTGCTTGTAATGAAACATTTTGAAAAAAAAAAAAGTACATTTTCAATGCCTTGTGGGCATGAAGCGCTAAACCTAATTTTTTATAGGTCAATCGGTACTTGGTGGGTCATGTGGTCATCATCACGCCGGCTGCCTTTACTTTCCAGAACTATACCTGATACCTATTTAAGGCTGTCTTGATCAAATCCCAGGGTCATATAAAAAAACAAACACGTCTGATTCTGTTAGAACCTAAGACCTTCAGATCCACAGGAGAGTGTCTAGCCGTTGCATCTCGGCAGCTCCCACTGATAGAGATCTGTGTGCGCTTGCTTCCTTGCTTTTCTCCATCCTGTTTACCCAAGGGGCGGCTAGCCCAACGGCTAGAACAATGGGCTCTCACGCGGAGGACGCGGGTTAGAATCCTCGGTAAGGTTGAGGATTTTTTTTTTTCTTTCCTCACCTGCACTAGCCATGCGGCAGTAAATCATCAGGCTCAAAGACACCCCTGCCTACACCGCACTAGTGGTATAGCAAAGGCAGTGTTTGGCAGTTTACCCAAGTTATGAAATACGAGTTGGGTTATCCTCGTGGAACTTTGGGCGCGTCCATTGAGCTTCAAAATTCTCCGCTCAGCATACGCATCAGCGTCCAGTGGTTAATAGTGCCAATTCTGAGTTCGTTGACAAGACTTTTCATACCTCTGGTGTGCCTCTCATACCTGGCTGTGCCCGTCTGTACTCCCGATTCTTGTATTTGTAACAGTGATATGGGCGCACTAGCCCCTACATTCCACCTCATCTTTCACCCCCCCCCCCCTCCCCCGCGCTTCCCCCCCCCCCCCCCCAAGTATTTTACCTACCGAGTACACTTCGATGTTTCACTCTGTCTTATAAAAACAGTCCGGGGATGAGAAGGAAAAAAACCCACATAAATTAGTGTCTGTTACATTCTGTTTCCACTATCCGCAGGAAATGAAGTCTGTCACTGCCACGAATTAATGTATCTTAATAATATTTAAGTGAGAGAGCATGTTTGCAGCCCAGGCAGATCACCGGGTAGCGACAAAAATATATCTTTGCTGACGGATTGCGCCGGAAATGCGCATCTATTTTGGAATAGAAAATTCAGCGACGTCTGTGAAAGTGAACACACATCTATTTGTACTCATCAGATCTTCTTATTAAACACCGCTCTCTATTTCACTTTTACGTGTGCTTTTAGATTTCCCTCTTTTTATTTACTATATTCTAGTAAACAAAATTAGTAGTCTGTGGTTAAGCGCCAGCATTGAAATCAAGGTGAAATTTGTGATGGCATGCATCTTCCCTGTAGCAACATACAGATTTGTCGTGGACTGTCTCGTAAACATCACGGAAGAAAATAGGGAGTTTTAAACTGAAATGCTATAGAAAGCGTTTCAGAGTACCATAGACCACGAAGAAAAGAAAACGAATCATCCTAAAAGATCCGAACATAAGAGCAACTAGAAAACAATATTTTGTCTCGGAAACTGAAATAGTGTGGCTATATCAAGCGCCACAGCGGATGGGAAAGAATATTAACAAAAGGCAGTGCACTAGGAAAAAGTGGCAGGGGGCCGGCAATCACGAAATGACACCTTCGGTAAGAAAGTGTACGAGTTTCCTTCAGGCAGGCTGGGTTAGAGCGACGTTCTGCAAAGAATCGGCTACAGGAAAATGATCGGCCGTCGATCTGTGATGTAGACATTATCAAGTCTGTCTTCTTTTCTTCCACAAAACATGTAATAGGTCCATTCGTGGACTGTCATTTGGGCATAAAACCCAGTTCCCCCCCCCTTCCCCCTTTCATCTAACCCTCTGCAATCTACTCTTGTCGCTTCATTTTCTACATATTTATAGGGACAGATTCACAGACCGTGTGAAGATTGTTTTGTTTCTAAACAATATCGTATTAGAACAGGCGTTTGCGAGATCACTGTGTGACCCCAGGTCACGGGTGGCCTTTAGCACGGTCTTGAATGGTCAAGGAGGGGATTTGAAATCGTGGGTGGTCCTTAAGTGACCAGGGTCAAGCATGGTCAGCAGAGAAGGGTTTAATGGTTCTGGGTGGTCCAGAGGTGCCCCAGATATCAAGATTCAGAAAACCGTGGCTAATCAGCGTGTTCCTTCTTCATCATCATATTCTTCTTCTTCTTCTTCTTCGTCTTCTTCTTCTTCTGGCACGTTATTTTGTGGTTAACAGGTAGGCAACGATATCGGCGCCTTTATCCCAACACATCCGCTTTCATGAAAACCTTAATTAGTCCTCTTTCACAGCATGCTTGGCTTGGAGTGGGGATTCCTGTTTGCCTTTTTCTCCGCGTACACCTGACCACCAAACCGTGCCCCGAAATCCTAACAACTATTTTGGTAATAGTTATCATTTTAGAACCGATATCACAGCATTCAGGACATCACATAAACACCCATTCCTCCTCTTCAGAGCCAACTCGCTCTTGGTAAAACCGTCTGGTATTGCCGCTGAGGTGTGAAGTTGTTAGGTTGCCCACGGCCTACTCTATAGGCCAAACAGGTCAACGGGGATTCCCGTTCTTGTGCAATAATTGAGTCCCTCTGTGTCCACAGTTTTTATCGAGAAGATGTATACACAAATTAAACTACAGTTTCATTAATTTTCGACATATTTTATAGAACTATACGTCATTTTTAAGGTTAAAAAAAAAGTGTGCTTTTTAAAAAAACAATAAAGGCTCTTACAGACAAACAAAAATGCCTTTGCTACGGTCAACATGATCATAAATATCACTATCGTTTGGATATAAACTGAAAGTTATTCCAGCAAAAGTAAAGATATATCAGTGCTAACTCTTTGATTCTGAGAGGGTATATTTGCATCAGAGGAGCCGGAGGGGGGTGGGGGTGGGAGGGGAGAGGTGACATTTGTACTTTACCAAATTTAGCGCATAAAAATACTGCTGTGAAACACACACATGTCATACATAACATAAATATAAATGATTGATGGTTATTATTACGATTAGTTGACTACTTCAACATATGACTACATATAATTATCCTCTTATTTAATAATTAGTAAACAAGCACAGTCAATATGAAACTGATATGTGCAATAACTTTTCACCCAGAGCAGTTTTCTTAACAGTACTTTTAGAGAAGGCGTTGGGTTGCCGTGTAATCTAGACCAGTGGTTCTCAAACTGTCTTTTTGCCGCGGCACCCTTGACGGGCTAAATTTTTTCTCGCGGCACCCTTGTCGGGCTAAATTTGTTCTCGCGTCACCATTGTCGGGCTAAAATTTTTGCACGCAGTCACCCTTGTCGGGCTAAATTTTTTCACGCGTCACCCTTGTCGGGCTAAATTTGTTCTCGCGGCACAGCTACCGTTAAAGCGGTTTGAATACTTACGGGGAAAAAAAAGTAAAAGAAAAACAGCGCAAATTTAATGTTCAGTTGTCTTTAATGGGATAAAGTAAATGAATTTTTCTTTATTGCCGCGGCACCCCTAGCATACGCTCGCGGCACCCCAGGGTGTTTTCTAATTTCAACGTGGCACCGACCAGTAAATTTCTACAGCTGTTAATTGTTCTCAACATTTCTCACCGTGCCGCGATAACAGATACCCCCTGTCTTAGAAAGGTAGTCCCGGCATTAAGAGACGCTTTATCTTATCTGTAATTTGCCAGCTCTCTTGCTAGGATTCTATGAGAGCTTCCACGCAGATCTGTCAAGGAGGAACTCTTATGAATGATAAAACGCAAATATCAACCGGTTTCATGTGGCATAAGATTGACATGAAAATGGTTTGGGAGCGGCCACTTACCGAAGTAAGGGGTGGCTGTTTGTTTGTATATATAACGCCTTAGTCGAAACACATCGCATATAAAGTGTGTGTGTGTGTGTGGGGGGGGGGGAGGGGGGGGGGGTTGTGTGTGAGGGGGGGGGGGTCGAAATACTTAAACTGTAATGGGGCCTACTTTTAAAATACTGAGCTTTGCGTTTTCGTTTCTTTACAACGCAAATCTCATATATAGCGAAATATAACAGGCATTAAACTGCGCTATTATTTGTCTTCTTTGTTACCGTTTAAAATGAGAACAACATTTGTTGCCCACAGTATGATAGGAGAGAAATTGAATTACTTTATATTGTAAACTTATAAGATTTTAATGTGAAAAGAGACAAAAACGCGAGGATTTTCGTTTTCTTTTGTACAATTTCTGTCCTAATCACAACCTAAAAAGGTGTATAGAAAGCAATATTTGAAACAAAAATAAAAAATTGCATAAAAAGTAATACATGATATAAAAAATAACAGATACAGTATATATACATTGAAAACTCGTTAAATCCCAAATTTAACCATGTTGGTTGAACAGGATATTTTTGTGAAAATTATTAGTACTACCCCATTGATCTCTATAACTTGGTTTGTAAACGTCCGACTGTAAATCTGGAGCTGGTAGTGGTTTGTACTTGAATGCCACTGGCCAGATTGGATTTTTTTTTCTTTACTGCAGCACATGTTCAGTATTTTGTGGTGCTTATCAACATGGTCACAAATCTGAATCTCTAATCTTGATATTATTGCACATATAGCGGTGTAGTTTGCTATGTCCAGTTCGCAGTCTAAATGTTATGTTCTGTCTCTGTCGTGTGAAGAGGTTGATTAAATCTTCTGAATGGAATGTATTCCAGTGGCTTCTGATGGCTGCCTTGATATGTGGTTTTTTCATAAGCCAAAAGTCTTATTGACATTTAAGGCTAGTTTCACTGTAGTTATTTGTTAGCAATCATAATAATGGTAGTTAATAATTGTAAAGAAATAATTACTTAAACAAATTTGGGAACGTTGATGTTGTTTTGCAATGTACCACAACTATATAACTGGCCTAACTATGATAAAGCTGCATTAACAATTTTAAAACTAAACACACATTTGCGGTAGCCAGATGCTTCTCTGGTTTTTATTTTCCCAGATGAAATATATAAGACCACTCTGGCATAGCGGGTCCCAGTGGGTTCTAGTGGCTGCTTTGATATGGGTTTTAATTTTTCATAAGTGCCTCCTGTATTTGACTGTTGTGTATTTCTCCCAAGTTTGGCTAAGTTTGACTATTTTCATTATCAACACAGAAAGAGCACCTCACGTGCCTTTGTTTGAACAACCAAAGAACCAGACAGTTCGAGTTGGGGAAACTGCAGTGTTTTCCTGCAGAATTGAAATTAGTGATACCCACCCACATATACAGTGGCTCAAGCATCATCAAGTGAATGGGTCATACACCAATGAAAATGGAGAGCAGTATTTCCAGATTGTGCAGGTTAGTATTTGTCTATGTTTAAGTTTTTGTTTATTTATCAGCAGAGCTAGTAGTTTTCAGTTCCTCCCCGTGTGGGTTCCAGGGCCCCATTGTGGGGGAAAACAAGAATAGACCAACTGCTTACCAAAAAGTATGTTGTAAGGTAAGAGTTAACTATTTTGGAGCTTTCTTCATAGTCGGAGTTCACAGCCATTGAACCCGAAGAAGAAGCCTCAATTTTGTTTCAAAAACTGTTTTATTATTTTGAAAAATAAATCAGATGTGGCTTCTTCTTCTTCACTTCCTCTTTTACCGCTGTGGGTGTCGAAGGAGATATAAGGTTCTGTCTCTAGCTCTTCTGGCCGCCTCGAACATAGGCATATCGTGCTGTTGTAGAGTTTCTCTGATGTTATCCTTCCATCTTGTTCTTGGTCTACCTTATGCTCTACGTCCTTCTTCTCTTTCCAAATATGCTTTGTATGGTATGGTGTCACAAGGCATTCTCTCTAAGTGGGCAAACCATTTCACTTGCTGTCTTCATATGTTATTTAGAATTGGTTCTGTGCCGACTTTTTCTCTTATGATCTCATTCCTGATCTTATCTCTTATAGTCACTCCCACAGCCCTTCTTAGACATCTCATTTCCATGGTTACTAATTTTCTTTTATGGTTTGTTGTGTGACCATGTCTGGCACTGGTAGCATAGAGTTGGAATAAATATGCTTTGAATAAGATGTCTCTTCAACAGTTTTCTATCTAAGAACAGGGCAGGCTGAACATGCATAAAATAAAGATTGTACAGTCCCCACAGTATGCATGTCAGACAGGACCCCAAACATCTGGGCACATTCTGCAGGCCTGCTATTCTTAGAGCTACAAAGAGAAACATGGCTTCAAAAGCAGTGTGTGCAGAGCAAGCTGTACGGAACCATTTAATTCCTGCAACTGAAATGTGAGTTCATAGAGGCAACCCACTTGATGGTCTGACCTGAGCTTATGCAACCAAACGCCAAGAAGAAGAAGAATAAGAAACAGCGAGTAAGGATCATTCAAAGCTTATGTACAGTGGAAACAGTGCATGAAGCTGATCCTCCAAAAGATTAATTAGCAGAACAGCAGCAGTAAAGAATTTGCAACTGTCTCAAAGGAATGAGACTATTTCTTAATTCTGAATCTTTTTAACTTGACACATAAATAAATAAACGTGACTTGACACAGAAAGACATAAGAGGGTATATGGAAGAAGAAAAAAAGAGAAAGAAAATGAATTACCTGTCATTTCTGAAAAATAAAAAACAACAACAAAATCAGAGGTTTTAAAATGTCTGTTTCCCCCCCCCCCCCCAACTGCATGAAAAGAGACAACATTCCCAGATTAGTTCATTAAGGAGAAGTGTCAGTGACTGAGATTATGAAATCCAAGTCTTAGCTATGTTGACAGCTATTCTGAATAATTGGTTAGTTCGGAACTAATGTGTGCATAACAGTAGTTACACACGATGGATAGCTCTCACAAACATATAATTAGTCATTATTCAAGGTTACAGTATCAGTGCAGATGGTTCACCCAATAATTTGTCTGTTCGTGTACCAGTAGAAATCATAAAATTTCCTTCACCATCCCATTTGAAAAACTAGTGATAATGTTGTCAGTCCCAGCAAAATCTTGAAGCTTGCACATGCAAAGTAAACACGCATAAGGCAGCTGTCATTTGTGCCAGTGCTAGTGGTCCCATACCAGAAATGCAGCTTACTTTTGGCACAGACAGTCAGTCATGAAAGCCAGCATTGCACCAAAAAAAGTACATTTCATTCTGAAAACATAAGAAACTGGCCAAACAGGCAAGAAATAGTTAAGAAAGCTGAAGCAAATTCTAACACAGACAAGAGATAGTTATGAACGCATAACTAAACTCTGACACAAACAGACAAGAGACTATCAAATTCGGATATAAACACACTAGAGACATGACAACAAAACAAAACCCTGCCAGCGGCACATCAGAAATTATGAAAAACAAACAAGCAAACAATTCACACTTGTTTTGTTATCACTAGATGACCTATTTTTCTTTTCTGTACAGGGTCGAAAGGTAAATGAGAACAAGCACATTTTGCTTGCTGAAAAATGAATTGTTTTTTTTGATGTTGTCACATTTTGTTAATATTGTTGCACAAATGTAAAAAATTTTAGAAGCAGCCTCTTTGGTTAATAATTGGAATGCGGCATGTTTTGTGTGTGTCTTTTTACTGAAACCAAGAATGTTTATGTGTATTGTCTTACATGTGAAGAGTCAGTTTTCTAACAAGTTTATTGATGATGTTGATAGCTGTCATGGCATGGGGTGGCTTAGAGGTTTTGACACTCACCCTTGGTTCATGTGGACAGGGTTCAGTTCACAGTATGTACAGTGGGGGATTGTACATTGTATGCCAATAGTGTGGCCCACACCCCTTTGATCGTGAGACAGTGGACTAGTCTTCTGTGATAAGAGGGAAACACCTTAAGATCTGTGTGCAGGTTGCATGCATTCAATATTTCTCAGTATTGGTAACCGGATAGTGGGTAGGTTCCAAGGCCCCATTTGGTTAAGGGGGTGGGGTGAGATAATCCACCCAATGCTTCTTCACAAGCCTGTTGTAAAAAAAAAAAAGTGACTAATTAATGTTTGCTGAAATAGGCGCAGATATCACAGCCTAGCTGTAAAACCCACAGCTGCCAACTGGCCTTTTAAGGTTGAAGGCCAAAGAAAAAGAAAAAAATATTTAAACAGTGCAGGATTAATATGTTTTGTCAGGGCAGATGATTTAAAGAGACCATTCATCCACAAAATATGTATAGTCTCCGTGATTCTGGTATTCACACATTTGGATCCTTACTAGTGTTAGAGTGTATGCATTTGGGGTGAAATTCTCCTTGTGTGATCTGTTGGGTGCATTCATGGAGATATCTATATGTATTAAAAAAGATCTTCACCGAAACGAAAACTAACAGCCACAAATGTAATACTGAAAAATTTGAATCTGGTAGAAACGAAACAAAATAAATACCTTGAGATATAAACCCCATATGTAGGCCTGCCATCCTTCAAGGGTTAACATCTGTCATCAGTGGTGTGACAGACAGCTCAGAAACTGACCCCCCCCCCCCACCCCCCACCCCCCCCCCCCCCCCCCAATTTTGTTTTAAAAATAAATCATGATTTAGTGATGAATTTGAACACACCATTTAAAAAAAATTAATTGCACATTCTTTACTGGACATTGCAGAACCAGCCCCAGCATTTTTGGGAATGTTTAGGCAATTTTACATTTAGTAGCTTGCCATGGCTTTTGAATGGTTCATACTATTGTCGAAATTAGTTCAATGTAGTCTGCTGCCACACCACCCGCAAGTGGATTAGAACCAGCTACTTGGAATTGTGAAGTGTTTGCAGTGCCTGAGCCCCTGACACCGAGTATGGCATCGCAGATGTCATTTTAGTATTTATCAAAGACCACTAAAAGTTGAGAGTTTATGTTTTGAAAAAGTTATTGCCCTCAAAACAAAACAAAAATGACCACATTAAAATTCCTTTGGTATTTAGATATTGTAAAGAGTTATTTAACACATTACCTGTTAAATTTTGTTTCATTCTTTCATTTGCAAAGGAATGTTTGTTTAGTGATCCGTCAATTTGTTTATATGTGAATGTTCACATTTGTATTTATTTGTTCAATTTGGTATTGTACTAACTTCACATTGCCACGAGAGGCTGTCACACACTTGACTAAACAATTTTTGTGAAATTTGCCTTAAGTTTGTATTGTTTATTTTTATCTGTTCATGTATGTTTGTATATATTTTGTTGATGCATAATTTTATTCACATATTAATACTATTCTTCTAAATCTCTGTATGCTGCTGTTTTTTTTTTTGTTTTTTTTTTGTTAACTTCCTGATCTTTTTTTCTTTCTGTTTTCTTCTTCTGTTCCAACAGAAACTGCAAAGGTCTATATTTTATCACCTTAAAACATGTGTGTTGCTATTGAGAAAATGGCAGTTATGCTGTCACTGTCTGCCTTGTTCTAATCCTTGATATCTATGCTAGTTTTACTGTAGTCATTTATTGGTAATCATAGTAATGTTAGTGAACAATTGTAAAGAAATGTATACTTCCTAAATTTGTGAATGTCGATGTTATGCAATGTACCACAACTAACCAACAGGCATGAATGTCATAAGATATATAAATTGCATTAAGAGTTTTAAAATTAAACATTTCCCCCAGTGTTAGATGTTCCTCAGGTTATTTGTTTCCACCCCTAGATGAAATATAAAATCACTGGACTTTTCTAGGAATTGTCTGAGAAAAAACTAGCCACTCAGTCTCATTATGGTTTGGCTAAGAAGTTGTAAAATCCTAACATCCTCCCCCCCCCCCCCCCCTCTCTCTTTCCCACAATAGCTGTTTCTGCAGCTTTAAATAAAGCTACCTTTAGTGCTTTTTGAGAAATATTTTCTAAAGCTATGTTTTTAGTGTTTGAAAAAAATTATTTAAATAAATACTATAATAATTTTTTTCTAGTTTCATTGAATACATTTCACTGTTATATTTTTATTCGTAACAAAAAACTTTTATGGTCTCATGAATTATTCTTGAAATGCGGAACAAGTCATGAACTTGGGCCCAAACAAACTGTAGTAGTAGTTTAATTCATGCTTAGTGACTCTTCCCAGGTGCTAGTGTAAATTGGAGGGGTGTCAGGTTGTCTTTTTTTATCCACACCAGCTCTGTATTACAGGACGTGACCACATTTAACAACTCCAGAATATCCAGACCTGACCCTACACCCACCCTGACCCCACAGGCTCAGCCTATGTCCCACAAGAGACTGCACGCTGTGTGCCATGGTTTCAGAAGTTTTAACATTTTGCTTTGAACGCGGGAATTTACAGTGGCTCAGAAAAACACACTGTCCGTCCACCAACATAAACAGAGCAGAGGAAAATCTGACTCCCCTCTAGCGTAGACTAACATATCTCAAAGGTTAACATGCATCATTGAACGTCCAATCACGAACCACTCACGGTTTGTTTGGGCCCGAAATTCGTGACTTGTTCCTGAAATGCAAATAGCATACAATATTCTTATCGGATGTAATTATTAAACATTATCAAATTTAAAATGTAATAAGCTCTTCTTGTATATTAATCATCATTAAAAAACATTTCAAGAAAATAGGAAACATTTTTATGAATGTTATCTTTAGTAAGTAGAAGTATCATGGTCTTTAATTACTGAAGTTTGTGAATTTGGAGTTTTTCTCTGGGGTTAATGATCATGTATTAGTGGCAGTAGGAATATTATGTTAGTGTTCATGTGTAGTTGTGGGGAGGACAATAAAAGGAATCTTGTCTGTTTAACAGGCATTTTACTTAAAGTTTTACTATATATAGTGGAGGCCACAAAAATGATTTACTAAATTACATTATTACCTAGGTAATAATAGAAGCAGGGTAATGACTTGGAGGTACCGTATGTCATGGATGTCTTCAGAAGTAGAGACAGTAGTTCCCCAAAATGGCTCATCTTCTGAATTGTGTCATTAAGAATTGGACAAATGCTTGCTGTTTTCTTTTATTTATTTAATTAATTTCAATTGTATATCTCAATAAATCAGAGTTATTAAACCATTAAAATGATATCGAATACGCCAAATTGATTAAACAGCCTAAAAAGTCTACGGTTAAGCAAGGAGATCAAAATTAGAATTTTGAGAGCATGCATCTTCACTGTAGCAGCATTCGGATGTGGGTCGTGGACTATCTCCCAGTCCTTAAGAAAGAGAATAGGGGCTTTTGTGCTGAAATGCTATAGAAAGATTCTCAGAATATCTTGGACGAAAAAGAGGAGAAATACTGACATCTTGAAAGATTTGAACATCAAAGAAGATTGGCTAATAAACAGCATCCTGCCTAGGAAACTGAAATATTTTGGTCATATCAAGTGGCACGATGGATTGGAACAATTTATAGCAGAAGGCGTGCTACCAGGAAGGAGAGGCAGGGGCGGACCAACACCAAGATGAGCACAGGATATAAGGGACTCCTTGAGTAGGAAAGTACATGAGGTGGGAGAGCTGGTGAGAGACAGTTTCTTTCAGGCAGACCCTAATGAGAGTGACGTTCTGCAAAAGACCTGCTACATGATGATCAGATGAGTTGTGTTTATTAAATTGCTGAGTCTACTTGTATCTGTGTAAGAATTAATGATGATGATTTTCATAAGAATATGAATTTTGAAAATGAGTTTTTAATCTGTTCACTTTTAGACTGCTACGGTTAACAACAGCAACCCAGAGGTCTTGATTTTACATAATGTGACAAAAGATGACGAAGCCAGGTACACATGCTTGGTCCGCAATGCCATTGGCCCTAGCTTCAAGTCAGCATACCTACAGGTCATTGAAGGTGAGGGCAGTTTCTGATACAGAATGGCTTAGTGGTACAGTGTGTGGCTCAGACTGAAGTATGTTGTTGTTGTTATTGATCCAGCGGCGCATGAGCTTTCGCCCGTTTGGCCCAATGCCATGTAGTGGAATTTACATGTTTTCACAAGCTGTTCTTTTCCTCTGTACAACATGTTCCACATGTCTAGTCTCGGAGTGAGTAGCATTCTTCTAGTCTCGTTAAATTTTGGGCACTCAACGAGATGATGGTCAACAGTTTCGTAGGGGTAGTTACATAGCTGGCACTCTGGGGGGTGTTGTAGCTGTATTCTGTTTAGGTGTCCATTGAGTAGAGTATCTTGTGTTCTGAGTCTGAAGATGGTGGCCTGGTCTCTTCTTGTTAAGTAGTTAATGCTGTCGTTAGGATCAGGGCTAGCCATGTGTCTATAAACCTCTCTTCCAGTATCTCCCATGGCCCAACTGTTCAGTCAAGTCTCTTTATTTATAGACTGAAGTAAACTTGTGTTTAAATCCAGCTGTGGAAATATAGGATGCCAGGATGTTATAATCCCCCCCCCCCCCCCCCCCCCCCCCCACCACCACCACCATCACCACCTAAGGTTATGGCTCCCTGAGAGGGTTCCGTTGCCCCCAATTTGGGGAAAAAACAGAATAGACCAACTGCCCCTGTTGTAAAAGGCAAATAATTAACTGTTTTTGGAAACATAATTTGTTGAACCGAAAGGCTCACATATTGCAGTCTAGCTGTAAACCACAGCACTACATCTTCTTCTTCTTTTTCTTCTTCTTCTTCTTCTTCTTCTTCTTCTTCTTCTTCATTTACCTGAAATAAGTTGTCTATATCAGCAATTTTGTCTCTAGTATAAATTTCACTGTTGTTGTTAATTCATTCAGTGGTCCATAGAGTTTACGTTCCACTGTTGTTCTGTCTGGCCAAAAAGTTTATTCTCTTATCTCCTAATGGAGAATACCCCTTGAACAACTCACTACATGTTCTCTTTTCTTTTGCTGTCTCATACAGCTTCATCAACATCCTCCACATTTTATTCATCTATGTTTCTAATTCTCTCTGTATTTTGTGTGTGTGTGTGCGTGCACGTGTGTGTGTGTATGGTAATTTTCTATCTTTTTACCTTGTGGGTTCCACAGCAATCAGAAATTGACAAAAAGCAGACTGAATAGTAAAATTAGGTGTTGCATTTATAAACAGTTTACAATAGTGTGTTCTGCACATATATTTCAGTGTAACAAAATAGATATGAATTGAGGTCAGTTGAAAAGAGGTCATTAGCGGGGATTTGATCAGCTTAACAGACTATAAATAGATTGTTTATTTACTATTGCTGATTTCCACAAAGTGAATTTTATTGGTTATTAATTTGTATTACTTGTTGCACTACACTCAGCATATCAGCATCAGCACTCTTTAACTTTATTTTGGAGAAATTAACTTATCTAAAGTGCAGCGATTTTTTTAAATTGTTATCACAAATTATATTATCTTGGTAGTGGTAATCTTAGTTTTAGCTTCATAGCTAAAGAAAAACACACAGAATGTCCATCACTGTCTCTTGTGGAAAAAATGATACAGACTGCAGTCTCAGCATATCCACTAGCATACACATGCATTAAAAGCATAAGGCAGCAATCAGTTTATCATCGGTAGCAGCGGTTACAAACCGACTAGCATTTGCACACACAATCAGTTATATTCCCATAAGGCACCACCAATTTTTTGATAACAGGCCAGAGTTCACAACACTATGTTGGTCACACTGGAAAAACATTCCAAATGAAATATGCAGCTCAGTGTTGCGCCTGTATCCTTTCAGTCTACAAATGGAAGAAAATGCAACGGCCACTGTCTGTCAGTAGCAAATAATTTTCCATAACTAAGAACGGTGACTGTGCCTATAGTCCATTTTGACTGAAAATCATATTATTAGGTAATTCTGAGTGTTTCATTATGAAGTTTAACAATGTTATCTTTTTAAGTGTCACTGTTTAACTCTGGCTTATGACTTCAACTTTTCATCCAGCATGGTTGATATGAGATTGTTAAGATCTAACAAAAACTTTGTTGAGAATATTTACATATGTTGTGACTTGAGCCAAATAAACTACAGACTACATAATGGTCATGCAAGTTTTTGTGCCAGCATTTTAAACATACACTCATGTAACTGAAAAGTCATAATACTGTCATAGAAAAGTTTTAACATATATTAACTGAAAAATCCAAACCTTATATCCTCCTGACACCCGAAGCGGTAAAAGGTGAAGTGAAGCTGAGGAAATAGAACTGAAAAATCAAGGACAAGTGAATTAATGTGCACTGTTTGTAGGCATATTGTTGTCCTTTGTTTTGTATGTTCATGAACGCTTTTTATCTGAAGTTGTTTTGTTGTTCATGAAAGTGGTTTTGTGAAGCAGACCAGTTATACTTCATGTCTGGATTTATATTTGTCATGAAAAAACCATAGTACTCTCATAATATAGTTTACAAAAATGTATATTCTGTATCAGATCATGAGATCTCTACCCCGATGGCAGTAATCAGAGTGAAGGAGAAAAACATCACTTTAATCCTGGTCGTGGTAGTAGTTCTTGTGGTGATGTTGGCAATGCTGTCTGTGGGACTTTGGTATGCCCACTGTCGCTGTGTCAAGAAGAAGCAGAGCCAGAATCAGAAGAAAAGAATCATTATAATGAAACCGGTAAGTGCCAGCTTGGAACAAATAATGGTCGTTTGCTGTTTGTCACCTTTTTTATCATTTTTTTTGTGTGGTAAATACATCATTATCATACACTTTGTTAATAAATGTGGGCAAACATGATTAGCTAAATCATAGAGCCTCAAAAAGAACAAGATCACAAACCTGATGTGAGACCTGAGTAATTGCCTGACCTGTACCATGACTTTTACTAAGATTAATGTTGATTTAAACTTAATATTATTTTAGGAGATCTTTGTAGTGACATTCTCAAACCATTCGCCTCCTGCTCTGAAGGTCATGGTTTCAATTTACAAACCCATCATTTACTTCATGAGTTTTATTGAAGTTCTGGAGGGTCATCCCTGCAGGTACATAGTTCATCCTTTGTGCGATGCTGCAGGCAGAGGATTAGCCATATTGCTGAGAGTGAATGAGTCATATGGGATGAGACCCAGTGCAGTGAAGTTCATTCTCCAAACTTCAACTTTAAACTTTGAACTTATGGTATAAACAGATCACTATTTTCCCCTCCACTTAGCTCATGATGTCTAACAATTGCATTTTTTGCAGACTGCTGAATTTGAGTATTAAAATACATCAGCAATGTTTACATTAAAGCCAGTCCTAAAATTTGCAGTTACTTTACAATCAGATGTGACTTGTAAGAATTTGATGTTATTAGAACTAAGTAATGTGAACTATAATAAAGGGGTTAAGGAGGTGAGGACACCTTAAAGAAACCATAAAATGAACATTGATGAAAGAGACCAAAGATGCTAGACTGGATTCCTTTCATGATATTGAATTGATTGCACACAATAGAATGGAATGGGGGAAAATACTGAGCCCTGTGTGACATATAATGATGGCTCAACAGGCAATGATAATGATTATGCCTATAAAAGATACCCCCCCCCCCCCCCCCCCCCCCCCCCCCCCCCCCCCCCCCCCCCGTATTACCAGTCTTTTTTAAGTAATGGTATTACACACACGTGGATGTATTACCAGTCTTTTTTAGGTAATGGTATTACACACACATGGATTATTACCAGTCTTTTTTAAGTAATGGTATTACACACGTGTGGATGTATTACCAGTCTTTTTTAAGTCATCGTATTACACGCGCGTTGATGTATTACCAGTCTTTTTTAAATAATGGTATACACACGCGTGGATGTATTACCAGTCTTTTTTAAGTAATGGTATTACACACACATGGATGTATTACCAGTCTTTTTTAAGTAATGGTATTACACACGCGTGGATGTATTACCAGTCTTTTTTAAGTAATGGTATTACACACGCGTGGATGAAAAACCCACTTACAGAGTAATCGCCAGATCTGTGAAAATGTGACCAGCAGAGTATGCCCGAAGGTATGTTAATGAGGCCGTTATATTTTTGTTAGAACCAAAAAAAAAAAAAAAAAAAACCACACTGATAATTGTGCCTTTTAAAGCCATATTTTCTTTGTTTATACACACATTAAGGAGAGTAAGTATGGAGACATGGTGACCACAAATGAAAACATTTTAATTCACTCTTTCAGTTCCAAAGAAACATGTATTGATGTGAATTGTCAAAAGAGTTAATAGCCATAAAGATACAAAATATTGGCTAGTAAATCATCAGGAAAAAAAATTTCATAAACTTTCCTGTCTTTGGATACTTTTTCAAGGGGTAAATTACACTGATTAAAATATTTCCAGAATGATCTGTACTACCAGCAGAAGGATCCAGAGGCTGATGCATCATTGATGATCCCTCAGATTCGTATTATCAAGGGAGGTTACACAAGTAGCGATAGTGGCAGACGGAGAAGACCTTCATCAGACTTTACTGAAATTTCAGAATATGAAGTTCCTCTCGACACCAAGTGGGAATTCCCCAGGGAAAGGTAATTTCACAATTTTGCAGATGAGTTAAGAAAATAACACTGATTGATTGATTTAAATCAAGGGCAGCTATTGATTGCAGCAGTCATTCATACTCTTTGAATTTACGCTAAAGATGTAAGGACAAAGTAGGTAGATGGCTGTTCAGCTTCAGGTTTGTAGCCTATGGCGTTAACACCTTAAGGATGTAAATTAAACAGGTACAAACCTCAGAAACATTGCTCAGCCATATAAAACACATATTAGGGCACCCACCAGCTACACCGAAGCTGAAGTCTTAACCAGGCTGTGTAAGGACATGGCATTGTCTACATGCATACTATCATTGATGTCAGTTAAATTAGGACTGTGTAATTGGCCATGCATTAGGAAACTTGTTCCTATAATGATGTGCTGTCATCGTTTGGAGGCAGCAGATTCAGATCCCCATTTAGTAGTTAAAGATTAACATTTTTATGCTGTCTAGTGTGACCTCCAGTTTCTATTAATTTTCTAAATTGTCAGGACTATCACACAATACTTCTAAGCTTCTTTATCTTTCATCCTTAATAAACACCCACTGTACCATTTAAATATATATGATGAAGTAAATTATCATGAATGCATGTAAGCAATTGAAACATGTTGCTGTCTAAGAATAAAAAAGAATAGTTATTAATGGTAGGCATAAACGATCATACATAATTTCTGAAAACAATACAGAAGAAAAGGATAGTACGATTTGGACATATATTTATGGAAATGAAATCAATTGAAACAAATTGTCTCAAGTGTTTCAATGTACACAAAACATCTAGTTTAAATAGAAGAATTTAAACAATGTTATCTTTAGAGCTCACCGAGACCATAAATTACTGAATGTTTGTCTCTGGACCAAAATTTAGCCTACTATTGTCAACATGTCTGGCAATCTCAAAGGATATTTGGCTGTCTGTTCTGTGGGTCCTCAGGAGATGGCTGTTTTATAGATTTTCACATAGCCCTTTATCAGTCAGCTGACTCACTAAGAATGTTCAATTCAGTATTCAATGTTCGACTTCTAGTTAACATCATGTAAAACCAATGGAGACAGTTATTCTGGTTTTAGAACAGTAGTATGAGAGTCCCATAGTGGAAAAGACTGAGGCTTTGTCACATAATACATATAAACATATCCACTTAAGAAATTCAAAATGTTTTCCCTTTTTAAATTTTAATATTTCGGACAGAAGCAGTACGCGGGACACTTTATTGCCTGCTGCAGCAATGTACTTGATGAGATAAAGCGAAAATAGTAAAGGACTCTTTTTCATGCCTTCAGGCATATTGGGCATATAAGGCTGGAACTACATTTTGTAGACCAGTTGGCACTCGGTGGATGATGCTGTCAACATCACGCCAGCCACCTTTACTTCCAAGAAATTTGCCTGTTACCCATTTGAGGCTGGTTCGACCTGGGAGCCCGAATCATTTCAGGACCTGTTCCTACGACCTTCAGATCTGCAGGTGAGCATCTAGCTACTGCACCATGGCATTACCCACAGCGAAATAAGCCAGGCAATAGATTGTGGAATGTATTGTTTGTGTCCACATTATTTAAATATTCATTTCAGCCAACCTGCATGGGGGAAGTGGCATAGGATTGTTTTTGTTGTTGTTGTTCATTTTTTCAGTTATAAGACAGGATACATTTAAACATTGTGATTTTCAGACTTCAGCTGGGTGAACGTCTGGGGGAGGGAGCCTTTGGCCTGGTGGTTAAAGCTGAAGCCATGGGCCTACTCAGTAGCAACAGTAATACGGCAACTACAGTGGCTGTGAAAATGTTGAAGAAGGATGCCACAGATCGGGAGATGATGGACCTTTTCAGGGAGATGGAGACAATGAAACTGATCGGAAAGAATAAAAACATAATCAACCTTCTGGGTTGTTGTACTCAAAGGGGTAAGAGTTATGCACACTTTTGTTAATTACAACAATTTTTTAGTTCCATGTAATCTTCTTTCTTCTTTGGGTTCACCAGCTGTACACTCTGGTGGAAGGTTCTGGTTGTTCATCCACTTCTGGACTGCAGTCCTGTTCCAGAACCTGAGGGTTGTGTGTGCATCCGTTTGACAGATCTGACACATTTGAGTGTAGACTGTTGGTTCCTTGCCTCTCGGGCAGATGCACTCCGACTTCGAAGGAAGCTCCCATTTAGTCGACTTTTATGACATGTTTTTGGGTAGGCAGTGGGTCTATTCTTGTTTTCCCTATAATAGGGCCCGGAACCCACACTGGGGAGTTCCATGTGAAGTTTAATTCAACATTGCCTGTCTTAAAGTTGTTTGACTTTAAGTTAAAGCAACAATTTATTTAATCTTATAGAACTGAAGAGTCTAGCTTTGAGATAGAAGAATTACAGTACCAGTTGAGAGAATGAGTTAGTACAGGGGAATAATTTGACAGAAAGAATTAAAAAAAAAATGAAAATAAAAAAAATAATGCAAGCCATATAAGGAGAAATAAGTACATCAGTTGTGAGCTACTGAAAGAGATACTGGATGTGATGTTTTGTTGAAGATTTTTTCCTAAGGTTTAATTTACTGTTATCAGTTAAACTGCTGTTAATAAACCATGTTTTTATAATGATGAATCAAAGTTAAGCTTTTACTTCTGCCAGTTTGAGAATGACAGTTTACTGGAATTAACTGTGTACACAAAAATCTGTTTACATAATTTCAGGACCCCTGTATGTTATTGTTGAATATGCACCCTACGGGAACTTGCGAGACTTTCTGAAAACACACAGGCCACCTAACCCTGGTGTTCCCTCCATGATATCTGAATACGAGCAGCCCATTCTCCCATTTAATGAAGAAATGAAAATTCTAACACAAAAGGACTTGATATCTTTTGCTTACCAAGTTGCCAGAGGCATGGATTATCTGGCATCAAAGCAGGTAGATCTGTTTTATTTGATTTGGTATTTAAAGAATTCTATATTGATTTTTATATTCAGAAATGTTATCACTTTGCATTACTATGAATATTATATTGTGATCAGTGACTGTAATAAACCGAGGGTTTCTTAGCAAAAAAAGAGAAATTTTCAAGAGGACGAAAATGGTTGTTTACCGCTCTACCTATGTACCAGTCCTGACCTATGGGTGTGAGTCATGGGCAATGACAACAGCTCACAGAAGCCAACTGCAGGCCTCGGAAATGAGATACCTGAGAAAGGTTGTCCAAGTGACAAGAAGGGACAAAGTCCGCAATCAGACAATACGTCAAGATCTTGATACCCAGCCCTTACTAACCCGAGTAGATCAGTCACAGTTACGATGGTTTGGACATGTATGCAGAATGGGAGAAAATCGGCCACCATGGCAAGCATGGGAGGCTAAGAACCAGGGAACCAGACCTCCGGGACGACCCAGGGTGCGCTGGGAAGACAACATCCGACAGTCCCTGACAGAGGACGAATGGAACAAAGCCAGAAAGAAAACTGCTGATAGAGACGTCTGGCGATCTCTCTGGCAAACCTCTACACCCCAAGGTAGAAGAGGAGCGACTAAGTAAGATCAGTAACTGTATAGAAGGCTAGAAAAGTCAGTGTTAATGTTGATATTACGATCATTGAATGTAGAGATGCTAGTCACAGTTATTGTTGATTGTATAGTTTGATTAGTGTCTGTATAGAAGGCTAGAAGAGCAAGCTTACTTCTACATATGTTAATTATTGCTGTCAGTAACCATAGAAACACTGATCATAAAAAGTAATTATGATGTCTTGTTACCTACCTCATCAGTGCAGAAAACAAAACAATCAGTATTGTTTTGGACACCTTTGATTTTTATTCTGTAAAGATGTAGACAGTTTTAACTTCTTTATAAAAAAATATCATACATGCATGCATATGTATGTACGTTTGCACGCGCGCGCGCGCGCGCACACACACACACACACACACACACACACACACACACACACACAGAGAGAGAGAGAGAGAGATGGAGGACATATATGTAATCAGTTAAATATGTCAAAGTGTAAATTAAGTACTGGACCCACTTTTATTGACCGTTCAGGGCTCAGTGATGTCATTATTCCTGACCTTTTGTATCCAAAAACATTTCCTGGTAGAAACTGAAAAAATCTGCTTCAGTGGGGACTGGTTACTATGTCCATCTATTCTGTTATCAGGGTGCTAGTCGCTGTGCTGTCATATTATGCATTTAACTATTTGCCTGTTTAAAAATATTTGTCAACATTTTTTTTTTTACCTATAACTTATCATCGTGTGTCCTGCCAGGCATCATAGGCGACCATTTTTCTAGACAGATCCTGGTACTTGGTATCCTGAATCACTTCCACTGATGATATTCCATAATGCCATTGCTTCAGGCTTCGTTTCTGTTTGTCCGCCTCTGCTGTTGATCTTTCCAGTTATCACGGTGAACTCTAATGACCCTCTTCTCATGACATGACCGAAGAACACCGACTGCTTCTTTTTTATAGGTATAAGTTGTTTGCTATGACTTGCTTTATGTTTAACTTGTTAGTTAATGTAAAATTTCAACCGAGTTATAATTTTCTCCTAGTGTATTCACCGAGATCTGGCAGCCAGGAATGTCCTGGTATCGGAAGATTATGTTCTGAAACTGGCAGACTTTGGATTGACTCGAAATCTCTACCATTTTGATTACTACAGAAAAACAACAGATGTAAGTATATATAAAAAAAAAATTGGTGAACACAAGAACAGTAAAGTAGGGAGATATTTTAAAGATATCTATTATTGATTGATAGTTGATGATACAGTAATAGACAAAGTAATCTTTTTATTTAAGATTCTTGAGTTTTGATTTACAAAGAGCATGTTACTACAGCAGTCAGCATCCTCACCTTGCAGTAAACCCGAACTCCAAGAGACTGACAATTTAAGAGTTTATGTTAATAATAAATGGATGCTGTGGACAAATAATTACGCATCCCTGATGGGAGATAAATTTAGTTAATCTAAACACTGTTTTTCTTAAGTGAGTATATATTTACAAGGTTTTAAATGTCTTTACTGAGAGAGGAGTAGCAGTAGCTTTTCCTAGAGTCCAATTATAGTTTAAAAAAAAAAAAGTTATTAGTGGCAGTAAATAAATGAACACAGACCAATTAATTAAAAACAGAATTATCAGATTTTACAGAAACTGAAAATGTTTCTCAGCAGTAATCGTAATAATATATTTACTTGTGAATGAGAAAACAATTTAAACAATCTTAGGAAAGGTATGAGAATAACAGGGAAGCCATGAAAGTGTGGAACTGACACATTTCATGTTGGTCTATTTTTTTTTATAGTGGTGTCAGATTATTGCGGATTGTTGTCTGAATATAAGTAACTCTTCTTGATATGAAATGAAAACCATGCTATGATTTTTGCATGCAGCTCCAGTCAAATGTATTATTTTTTAATGTTGAAATGTTTCTATTAGATAACTTATTTTTACTGAATGTACTTTGCACATCATCAGGGGAGATTACCGGTGAAATGGATGGCTCCTGAAGCTTTATTTGATAGAAAGTATACCTCCAAAAGTGATGTGTGAGTAATATTTGTTTCCTTCTTCTTTTTCCAGCACAGTTCAACTGTGTACATATACACATATATTGTTGTCATAAAATATACTGCTGTATAAAATTGAAAAGCTAGTTAACATTTTTAGGTCGTTTCCACTAAGCTTTTTTTTTTTTTTTTTTAAAGAACCTGAACACACAGTCAAACCAAACACACAGTCAAACTAAACACACAGACAAACTGAACACACAGTCAAACTAAACACACAGTCAAACTGAACACACAGTCAAACCAGTTTGTTGCATACTTAGTGTTTTTTTTTTTTTTTTAAATTGACAATAAATCAAATCTGTGTTACGTGTGTGTACCCCCCGGGTCAATCCAGTCTCCATAGTGGAAAGGAAAATAATACATGTTTGAAAAAGCATGCTATAGCAAACAAAGCCGGTTGATAGCATTGCTGAAATGTCCTTTTCACCTGCAAGTCGGGACTGTAGTGACCACCTGTCACCCACTTTTGAGAAGGAACAATCAGTGGATATGTTTGTAACTTTTACTATTTTAACCATGGCGCTGCGAAGACGCTTGACCAGTGTTGTATTCCAGACATCTGATGAGAAGGAATAGATTTGAGAACTGTGTGACAGCTGCAAAGATAAATGGAAATAGATCAGGGTGATGGCAAAGAGATAATTATCTGGTTGGCTTAACCAAATGGATACGGTGAGGAAAGAACATTTACCTCATCTGTGATTCCGGCGATTATGGGAGATGGTGAAACCCGCCAACCTGCGCTTATTGGCAGGGCATTTGATATTTCATGTAATGTTTTGTTATCACAGACAGTCACTGACAGTGCACATCGGTTCTCTGATGTAGCAGCCATCACAAAGAAACTCTATTCCTTGCGAACTTGGTTTTAATCTCTCCTAACCTGATATGTCGGCATGTGTGGCTTACGCATTGTGTGCCTGGTTTGATCCCAGCTGCGGGCCTTGCGTTGGTTTCGACAGTGGTATCGAAAAGCCAACCGTTCAGAAAGCAATAGCAAACTACTGAAATTAAAATTTGCATAGAAAAACTGCACCAGCCAAAAAATGCTGGGGTTGGTTCTGCAATGTCCTGTGAAGGATACAGAACTAACTTTTTAACCTGATATTTTTCTTCTTAATCACATTAACTGGCTGTAAACTCTGGCAGAAAGTTCTGGTTGTTTGTCCACTTCTGGACTTTGATTGTGCTCTGAAACTTGAGTTTTGCATGTACCTCCATTTCACAGAAATGGCTTTTTTTGTGCACGTACTACTGGTTCGTCAATTACTCAAGCAGAAGTAGTTCGACTTTGAAGGAAACGGTCCTAATAAGTCCCCTTTTTTTGCATACTTATTTGAGGAGAGTCGGTCTGTTCTTGTTTTCCCCCAAAATAGGACCTTGGAACTCACATGAGGATAACCTGATATTGAAGATGGCATAGGCACACTGTGAGTCACCGTGCCGTAGAGGCTAGACCCTCGCCTTCGGATTTGAAGGTCGTGGGTTCACTTTCTGGCGGAGCCGGACTTTCCCCCCAAAATGACCTTGGCTCCCTGGTCGACCCAGCCTCAAGTGGGTACCAGGTGCAATCCTGGGAAGTAAAGGCGGCCGTTGTGATGCTGACCTCATCACCCGTCTTGTGCCGTTGGTCTATAAAATATAGGTCTAGCCCTATTTACCCAATACGCCTGACAGGCGTGGAAAAGGGTCCTTCAGTTTACTTTTACATAGGCATACTGTCTGATCGTTCAGAGGAGAGACTGCCTGTGGCAGGTTTCTGAAGTATGTTAATTGTTACCTGACATGCTGTTGTTGGAGTATTCAGCACTTTGTGTGTCTATGAAATTTTTGTTGTAAACTAAGTCAAAATTGTCTTCATTAGTTTTATATTATCATTTAAAAAAAAATTTATTTGAAAAATTCTATTGCTTTTGATTTTTCAGGTGGTCATTTGGTATACTACTTTGGGAAATCTTCACTCTTGGTGGAAATCCTTATCCATCAATCCCAATTGAATCCTTGTTTACACTTTTGAAAGAAGGTCATCGTATGAGGCGACCCCCATATGCGTCTTCAAAGATGTAAGCTATGATAATTACTTTTTATGTGTATGTATGTAGTAAATTGTTAAATAGTTTTAGTAGAATGTCTCATATGTTGCTTTTGCTGTCACTGTATGGGTTTCGGGGCCCCCATTTTTTTTTTTGGGGGGGGGGGGGGGGGGGGGGGAGAAAAGAATAGATCTGCTGCTCCCCTAATGAGCATGTTGTAAAAGTTAACTAATTAGTGATGTTTTCTTAAGAGTCAGACTGCATCTGCTTGTGAGGCAAGGAACCAACAGTCTGCACACAGATAAGGCAGATCTGTAAAACAGATATGCATGCAAAATTAAGTTCTGGGAAAAGACCAAAGTCCTGAAATGGACAAACAGCCAGAACTTTCCTCTTAAGTTTAAAGCTGGTGAACACGAGGAAGAAGACTTGATGAACAGTTCAGAAACTTGTTTAAGATGCAGGTTATCTATACTGGCTTGGCTGTGGCCATAGTCAGTAAATATTTTTTCAAAAGTTAACATGTGATAAACTATCTGTTTACCAGTATCAGAGAAGCAATGCACAAATTAGACAATAAATGTAAATTTAACCTCATTTTAGGAAGCACTTGTCATATAAGATACAACATAGCAGTAATGATGGCATCTCTAAAGCTCACCTCTAAATTACACATTTCTTTGCTGCATTAAAAAAATTTGAATTATGCGCTAACTGTAATTACACATGCACTCATAATTTCAGAGTTGTTTTCTGTACTATTAGAGAAAGAGATCATAGAGGTATTTGTATTTTGCAATTTATAAAAAAAAATATTCAATGCTGTAGTTTAAATTTCATAACACTCTCTCTCTGCAAAGTGACTAATTGCTTACCAAAACCCAGTTCTGTAATTTTAGAGAAGATCCTTATGGATGTCCGGAAAATCATCCACTCGTGAACCATACAACACAGTCTGAGAATGAACCCATGACTTTCAGAGTGTAAGGCAGATAGCTTGACCACTTACTCACAAGATACATTTTTTTTAAAAATGGGAACTATGCAGCCATACCAGACTGGTTTGTTGTAACTTCCTTTACATTCTTGTGGCTTAGAAGTAAGTGAATGTGATTAATAATTTCATGATCCTTAAGCTCTAAGGTTTGATTTCTGTAGACTTTTTTTTTAATTGAGACCTTGACACATAATATTCCAAAGACAGCTGTGATACACAAATGCCAACCCTTCAATGTGGAGACAGCAGAATATTCAAGAATGAACCCGACATTGAAGAAATCAAATGGATAATGTTTTTTTAAATTTGGAAAATGTATAATTGTTGAAGTATATACATAAAATTAGGTTTCCTTGATCCCAGTGTGAGACATGGTGGTGTGCTACTAAAAATTCTGGATGGCACTAGTCATGGAAAGAAAAAGAGAATGTTTAAGAAACAAATTACATTACAAAAATAAACAAACACACTGGTTTAATGCACAGCCCATCAGAACTGCTGGGGGACAGGAAGTAACATGATCAAGTAACCTCACCATCAGTTGTTGACTTGATGAAACAAATGATGATGATTTATATGCATTACATATATTTTGTGTTTTTCAAATTAGGTATGGTGTAATGCAGCAGTGTTGGCAAGAGGAGCCCCTGAAGCGACCTTGTTTTAAATCATTGGTCCAAGAACTTGATATGATGCTGACTTCTTCTTTAAATGATGAGGTATTCAACACACATTCTAGTTTTGTAAACTGAAATTGTGAAAAAGAATATGGAGCCTCCAGTGCTTTGATACACTCATTTGAAATATTATAGCAAGAATGGCATGCAGCCCCTACAGTAGTTTAAGATATAATGTTTGAGGTACAAAAGGGACTGAGGCAAAATTGCATTCTCTCGCTCTACTTCTTTCAGAGTATATGCAGAAAGATACATTAGAAAATGGTCATCCTTGTGACAGTTTTGATTCAGTTATATTTGGTGGCTACCAAGTTCCAGAACTTTGGTTTGCAGACACGGTCCTCCTTTCAAATAGTGTTAAAGGATTAGAACATTTAATCCTGCCTGTTCAAAATCACAGTGAAGACAAAACCTTTGTGTTTAAAGAAAACAAAAATGAAATGTACAGGTAAAACTACATATCACCCAAAAATAATAGTCAAGGTTAAAAGAATTTGAGACATCACAAACTTTGAATATCAAGGCTTATGATAAACAGCAGTGGAGACTGTTCAGCAGAAAAAAGCAGGATAGCCATAGCAACCCACAAATTAAATAGCATTAAAAGCCTATGGCTAAGCATCAGGGGGCAAAATTAAGGTCACAGTTTTGAGAGTATACATCTTCTCTGTAGCAGCATACATCTTCTCTGTAGCAGCATACATCTTCTCTGTAGCAGCATACATCTTCTCCGTAGCAGCATACATCTTCTCCGTAGCAGCATACATCTTCTCCGTAGCAGCATACATCTTCTCCGTAGCAGCATACATCTTCTCTGTAGCAGCATACATCTTCTATGTAGCAGCATATATGTGTGAGTTGTAGACTTTCTCACAGTCTTTAAGGAAGACAGACTGGAGCTTTAGAGCTCAGATGCTATAGAAAGATGCTTAGATCACTGTGGACCAAGAATAACAGAAATATTGACATTCCAAAAGATGGTAAGATTGAGAACATTTGAACTAATAATCAGCATCTTGTCTCAGAAACCACAATACTTTGGTGTTTTCACTGTTGCAGTGGCTTGAAAAGAACATTAGCAGAGGGCATGGTACTGAATAAAAGAGATAGTGGCTGACCAACATAAAAGTGGGCATAGGACATAAGAGACACTTTGAGCATGATGCAGGAGAGCTGGCAAGTTTCTTTTAGGCAGGCCATGATGGAAGCAAAGTGTTGTTATGTAAATAACCTGCTACACACGCATGCACAGAGAGAGAGAGAGAGAGA